ACTTTTGGTTCTTTTATATTTGGTTGATACTAATATTTATTTAAAAAGAAAAATATATAATCTAAACTATAACATACTAAACTATTCGCATAAGATATATCATTTTACTCCATGAAAGGCTGATTAAGATATTCCATGCTTCCATGTATTTACTCATCAGGACACCACTCCATTCTCAAATACCATCTGCTTCGAGAAAAACCTCCAATGGAAATAGATCTGGACGGCAACCTTTAAGTGGTAGCGATAGCAGAAGGCTCTCATCAAATGGTAGACATGCTGGTACAAAGTAGGGACTACTACAATGATCATGTGCATTTTTTTTTCTTGGCTTTCTTTCAGTGTTTGTCATGAGAGATTGCGAGGTTTTTCTCGAGTACAGCAATGAGTGACAATAAACCCAATTGATTGTCTCAGTGTGGTGAGTTGTGATCTCAACAACTGGTGTGTGAGGCCATTAACCTTTTTTTTTATTTGGCCTATCAGGCTATGTTGAGTTCTTGCTAATTCTTTGTGTATTGTTCATAATATATATAATGAAGAGAAAAGAAAGAGAATTGGTTGATCAAAAGCGGGTGCATAATTTCTCTCTTTGAACGCTTTTATCTTTTGATAAAGGTTCTTTCCAATGTCCTTCGTTTATTATTCTCCAGTATTCTAACAAGTACAGCTTTTGCTTTGGTTGGAATTCTCTTCCACGGGTCCACGCTCCATGAAGTTCATGTTCATGTTCTTGTACATTGATATTGATTTATGTCAGCTATCGTGTCATACAGTGACACTGCTAGCCAAACTTGTGCTGCTGATCATCCTGGAAACCTGGAAACATGTTTTTGCTGCAGAGGTGATGGTCCTGAAGTCTTGCCTTTTGCTTAAGTTCTGGAAGTGCTCGTTGGATTGTACATACCACTTCATTCATTCCTGTAAGTGACCATGCAGAATCATGTCTGTTGTAGCTGTGGTGCATACCATCTAATACATTGCAGTGACATGTTTTACAATTTTACTGTCCAACATATATCTGAGCTTTAGACAGAATGACTACAGTATAGTAGCTTTACTTTTTCTTTTTTTTTTGAAGGGAGTTGAGCTTACCTCTTAGTGCAATAAATGTTACTCCCTCCATTTCATATTACTATAATTTATAAGTCGTTTGACTTTTTTCCTAATCAAACTTATTTGACCAAGTTTATAGAAAAATATAATAGTATTTTCAACACAAAACAAACATATTATCAAGTATATTCAATGCTAGATTTAATAAAACTAATTTGATATTCTGGATGTTGCTAAATTTTTCTATAAACTTAATCAAACTTAACAAATTTTGATTAGGAAATAGTCAAACGACTTATAATATGAAACGGAGGGAGCAACACATTTGTTGGAGGAGAAGAGCATTGCTTGGAGGAAATTCATTATGCAGTCTTGGAGTTCCATGGAAAAAAGACCTTAGCCGAGCCCCACAAGACCAAAATCCCAACTATGGCATGAAATGAGAGAAGGGAAAGACGAGGAGGAAGAAGATAAACATGGTCTTTTACATATAGGTCTCATGGCATTATTTATTTATGAGTAAATTTCAGAAAACTGCAACTTTAGTGACAAAATTATCAGTTTGTTGTAACAATAGCGTGGGAAATTATCACAAAACTGTAACTTTTACGTTATATGCTGCTACAGTACATATAGGTGACAACTGTAGCAGCATATAATATAAAAGTTGCAGTTTTGTAATAATTTCTCACGCTATTGTTACAGTAAACTAAAACATGTCGCTAATGTTGCAACAAACTGATAGTTTTGTCACTAAAGTTGTAGTTTTCTAAAATTTACTATTTATTTATTTATTTTATTGATTGTAATGCAACCCAAGTGCCACGTAGGTGCCAGATGATACCAGTGTGAACTGCATAGGAAGGTAAAATGAAGAATTGGTATTGATAATTGAGGGAGGTTGTATACATGATTTTTCGATTGCGAGGAAACTCAGATTGTAATATAGACTTTCTTTTTCTAATACTCACCAGGAATCTTTGGCCCAGTTAGTCTAGCTACAAAGCACTGCCTAGTAGTTCAAGGCCAGAGACTGGTCCACTAAGCGTTGTGCCCAGCTACATAATCATGGTTCAATGCCCAATGAGGCCTTTTCGGAAACTTAGAGCATAATCTAGCAATTTTCGGCGACTATGCAACACGCTGTGCATGCATGAAGAAGGATCGAGTTCAGTTAAGATTCAAGAGCACCGATCTTACAAGAAAACCATCCGCGTATTCAACGGGCAAGTAGACAACAACTACGCAAAGTCTAATTAAGCAGCGGCGACCCAAAGCCCATGTTTGCCAGCCGAGGCCAACTCACCGCAGGGAAAAGGTGAGCTGTCCTACCACCAACAAAGCCACGCCGCGCGACCGTAGAAAGAAAAGCCTACGCGGCTACGCCGTTTCACCGACGACTGGACCTCTCCTTCACGGCCTCGTCTCACCCAACCCTAGTTCCTTTTAGGACGAAAACGGAATGAATACGGAAGTATAATGCTCATATCATATTTGTTTTTATATTTCTTTAAATACGAATACGGACAACTCAAAATAGAAACAAATACAGATTACTTCGAATACGAATAAAAATCGAATATGATCGGACACGAATACGGAAACAATTTTTTCTCGGAACACGAAAAATCAAATCAATTTCTAATATAAACAAATATCAACATATATAATTAGTTCATTTTATTTAAAATGTAGTATAATTTATAAATATTTATTTAAAAAATTAAATAATATTAATAGTGTGGACTAGTATTAAGAGATGAACTTCTATTAAAATCTAAAAATGTATATTGAAAGTCATAGAGTTATAAAGATTTGGGGTATGTCTCATGGCTTCTGCGGATATCCGAATAGCATTGTTAGTCGGATATCCGAGTTATTATCCGTATCCGGCGGAAACCCTGATACCATATCTGTATTCGTATCCGGGAGGAAATATCCGTATTCGTATCTGTATCCGAGCTATCTGAAAATTATCCAAACCGAAAGATATTTGTATTCGCTTTTCTCTGAAGCAGCGAAAACTATTCGCTCTGTTTCTAATAGGGTTGTGATTTTGTTCTCTCTTGTTCACCTTAAGTTGAGTAATCACCGCCACAAAATGTTTCAGGCGATTTTGTTTGCATGATCGTTTGGACTTGGGGAATGTTGTAAAGTGAAGATTTGTTTCGCTACTCTCTCTATTTTTTAGCGTACCTTTTAAACTGCTAGACGATATGTTTTATGTTAAAACTTTTTATAAAAAATCGTTTTAAAAAATAAAATAAATTATAATTCATAATTTAATTTTGAAAAATACTCAATTAATTAGGTTTTTCATTTTACATGCCACTAATTAGCCATTTTCAACCTGTGGTTGTTAGAACAGCCCTTAGGTTAATGGATAAAAGCATGCTAGTTGTGTTTTTACAGCCCGTTGTGTCAAAAACTCGGAGGTCATGAGCAAATTTGCATTTTTTGGGATTTGAATTTTAGAATTAATTTGTTAATTTTTTCATTGCTTTCATTACCTAGACTTCCTTTTGGACAACTAAGAATTAAAATGTAAAAATATAACCTTAATTATTTTTGCTACTTTGATAATCTATTTTCGATTTATAGACTGTAGCAAAAAGAAAAAAGCTTTTCAAGCAGTGATCTGGGTTCACCAGCTGTACTCACCACTAAGGCTATGTTCTTCTCCTAGTTTTCCCTCTTTTATTTTCCGCGCGCACACTTTGTTTTTTTTACCAGGGCGCACACGCTTTGTAGAAAAATTCTATATGAAAGTTGTTTTTAAAAAATCATATTAATTTATTTTTTAGGAAAAAATAGTTATTAATTAATTAATTATGTAATAATATATATTTCGTTTTGCGTGTCGGGAGGAGGGCAGCACCTAACTCATGCTCCTACTAGTTTTTGTTATATTTCTTGTTCATTGAATTTTCTCATAGAAAGGGACATTATGCTTGATCTGGTGGTGTTTGGATCAGGGACTTAACTTTAGTCTCTATATTTAGACACTAATTTAGAGTATTAAATATAGACTACTTACAAAACTAATTATATAAATGAAAGCTAATTTGTGAGACAAATTTTTTAAGCCTAATTAATCCATAATTAGAGAATGTTTACTGTAGCATCACATAGGCTAATCATGGATTAATTAGGCTCAATAGATTCATCTCACGAATTAGTCCAAGATTATGGATGAGTTTTATTAATAGTCTACGTTTAATATTTATAATTAGTGTCCAAACATTCGATGGAATAGGGATCTAATTATAAATATTAAACGTAGAATATTAATAAAAACCCATCCATAATCTTGAACTAATTCGTGAGACGAATCTATTGAGCCTAATTAATCCATGATTAGCCTATGTGATGCTACCGTAAACATTCTCTAATGCTAAAGTTCTTGGATCCAAACACCACCTAGCATGCATAGGACGAGGCATTTAATTTTACTTATAACGAGACGTGCCAAAAAATGATATCCACATAACGGCATAAAACTAAACAGCTGCATATGAATGTAAAGACTAAATAAAATAATTGCACCAAATCTTAAGTTTTTAAATGCATTTTTGGAAAAGCTTACTACTGGTACTACTATTCTTGTACTCATATGTGGAGTTGTGGACTTGCAAGCAATAGCACATGGGTCCATAACACCTGACACCAAAACCACCTGTGGTCAGTCAAACATATCCATTTTAGCAGCTGGCAACCATACATTCAAACATGCTTAAAAAATCTTAAAAACATTACTAGTAGTCCTCAGAACCGGACAACCTGCGGCTAAATCCACAATATGAACACACTTTTCTTTAATCCAACTCAGATTTCTTAATCCAAAAGTTGCTAACCACTATCGACCAGCTGGCCTCGCTGCTGCTGCAAGCTTGCAGAAATGCAGGCATTTGGCAAGCACATTTGCACCGAGGCCCCCTATTTCACCTACGAATTACAAAAAGATCCCACCTCTTCTACTATCGTCAGCTAATTAAATCGTTGTTCCTCAGTTCGGTACTTCTTCTTCCTTCACTCTCCCCACCAAATTCCCCCAAATCGCAGCTGTTCGCCACCCGCATTGCGCCGCCATTGCCTCCAAATCCGAGTACTCCTTGAGTAATCTCAGATCCATCTCGGGTTCCTCCCGCCGTTGGCAGCAGCCGGAGCTTTTTTCCGCGGAAGAAATGGCGCCGTTTCGGTGAGTTCTTGGCAGTTTGGGATGATGCTTGGTGGGTAGGAGGACTAGGAGTGCGGCGGCTCGGGGAGAGGCTGCGATGGAGAGCGCCGCCGGGGAGGAGGGGAAGGCTGCCCCGTCGCTTCCCCTGGCGACCCTGATCGGCCGCGAGCTCCGCGGCGGCGGCTCCGAGCGGCCGCTCGTCCGGTACGGCCACTTCGGCTTCGCCAAGCGCGGCGAGGACTACTTCCTCGTCAAGCCCGACTGCCTCCGCGTCCCGGGCGACCCTTCCTCCGCCTTCTCCGTCTTCGCCGTACGTGCCCTCCCCCCGTGTCGCGTTTCTGGTCTCGTCTCGGGATTCCGTGATGCTGATGGCGTGTCGGGTTTTGTTCTTGTTCTTGGATCTGCGGTTTGGCAGGTGTTCGACGGACACAATGGCGTGTCGGCGGCGGTGTTCAGCAAGGAGCACCTGCTGGAGCACGTGATGAGCGCCGTGCCGCAGGGCATCGGCCGCGACGACTGGCTGCAGGCGCTGCCGCGCGCGCTGGTCGCGGGCTTCGTGAAGACGGACATCGACTTCCAACGCAAGGGTGAGAGAGATCCTCGCAATGCCGTTGAAACTTGAAAGCCTGGACCATCGCCGCTGTGAAGATGTTAACTTTGGGGGATGTTGTGTGAGTGTGATTGCAGGGGAGGCATCAGGGACGACAGCGACGCTGGTCGTCGTCGATGGGTTCACGGTCACGGTGGCGTCTGTTGGGGACTCCAGGTGCATATTGGACACGCAGGGCGGTGTGATCTCGCTGCTAACCGTGGACCATCGTCTCGAGGAGAATGTAGAGGAGCGGGAGCGCGTCACCGCGAGTGGAGGGGAGGTCAGCCGGCTCAACCTGTGTGGTGGACAGGAGGTAAGCTGCTAGTAAATATTCTTGGAAAGAACTTCAAGGATACATTCAATGCTGTCAAAGCATTTCTCATTATGGGTTTTGATGTGAAATCTTGCTGTTGTTTTAGGTGGGACCTCTCAGATGCTGGCCAGGTGGATTGTGCCTTTCAAGATCGATTGGGGATACTGACGTTGGGGAGTTCATTGTGCCAATTCCACATGTCAAGCAAGTGAAGGTGAAATTTTAAGAGTTTGATCAAATGCAAGGAGTAGCTTATCGCAATGAACTTAACTGTGTATGCTTTTCATTCTGGGAAATTGTAGCTATCAAATGCTGGAGGGAGGCTAATAATTGCATCAGATGGAATTTGGGATGCACTGTCCTCAGAAGCTGCTGCTCAGGCATGCCGAGGATTGCCTGCAGAGCTGGCTGCAAAGCTTGTCGTGAAGGTAGTTTCACGTGTGGTTTCAGTTTCTTGTTTATATCTTACTTTATATGGAATGCTTCACTATCTTGATCATCCAACTGAGATCCATTCATATTGTACAGCAAGCACTGAAGACAAGTGGGCTGAAAGATGACACCACCTGTGTGGTTGTTGATATCATCCCATCTGATCATTCTTCAACACCTCCATCACTATCTCCAAAGAAAAACCAGAACAAGTTGAGATCTCTTCTTTTTGGTAGGAGGTCACATAGTTCTGTTGGAAAGCTTGGAAACAAGTCTGCTTCATTTGACTCTGTGGAGGAATTATTTGAAGAGGGTTCCGCAATGTTGGATGAAAGGCATGCATCATTTTCCTGTTGCAGTTCATTTTGTTATCCCCTGTTTAGTACCTTACTATGCATTATTAATCACTCGGTTGATTGTCATCTGTGTATTTGTTATCGTCATTGATTCCTTTATGATTTTTCCCTTATCACATGTCCCTGGCTTGGTTTTATAACATATGATATATTTTTGAAATGGGGAACAATTGGGGGTCCCCAGCCTCCACTAACCACTAATTGAACTTTTCCATCCTAAGTTCCTGATGCATGGTTGTCTTTTTCTTGATCAGTTGTCCAATATCATTTGTGGCTTTTTTTTCATGAAAAAACAGTATAGTAAAACTACATGAATACTTCATAATTTTCTTTAGTTAGTGGTGTGTTTCCACTCCCGATTGTGGCTCATTAGTTGAACTCAATGCAATAGAATCCTGGCTTGTCAATTATATCTTGTGGGCTTGGCAACATGATAATATGTACTCATACTAAGACCTCCCTGTTGCTATTGCCACTTCTTTGGTTTCTGTTGTTCCTTTGTGTGGCTTATGGCACATAAGGAAATTGCTGACGAATTAACTTTTGAAACATTTTTTTTGTTATTATGTTGCATTGCATAAATATTTATGATATTGTAGTTAGACCAAAGCAAAAGGGATTGAGTAGCTAGCTTGGTAAGGATAGATTGGCATACCTTGATATGGTTGATATGATTTGGAGACAACCTCTCTTTCAATGCAGAAGTCATGTAACTTCTACTTTGCTTCATGCAGTTCCAGAACTTTTGTGACCTTCAAGAATGAAATATCACTTCTGTTAGTTTGCGTTTATGTTGCAGCCTAAGTTACTATGTCATATTTGAGTTGTATGCTACTAGAGTCCTAGACTATACAGCACCATCCTACTATTTTATCTTCTCAATTGATGGTCCAAGTTCCCCAGGTTGGATAGTGCTTGAATGAACATATTGCACCAGTAGTTAGAAGAATTTTACTTGAGCTATGCCATGGATAATATGTTTTCTGTTGAATTGTTTTCCTCATTATCACACGCTTCTTTATCACATTGTCCAATTAACTGTTGATAACTAAGATATATTACTGATTGATGTTCTGTTTGTCGAGGAAGCCCACTCTGTTGTTACCTCGTCTCTGCATTTGAGGCTATTGAACAGAACCTTAACAGCCTATTTATACTTTTGCAGGTTGGGTAGGAATTTTCCATCAAAAGCAAACTCGTCCCCATCTCGCTGTGCAATCTGCCAAGTGGATCAAGCACCTTTTGAAGATTTAGTGACAGATAATGGAGGTGGTTGCTGTTCTGCCCCATCGACACCATGGGTTGGCCCTTATCTTTGTTCAGATTGTAGGAAAAAGAAGGATGCAATGGAAGGTAAAAGATCTAGTCGCTCAACAGCGTGCAGGTGAAATTGCCAATAGGACTAACTGGTCCTTGTTCGTGCAAACTGGTCTCCTGGTTCGGTTGTCTGCCACATGTAAAAAGAGGATAATAATCTGTTTGCTGCTGGATCCAAGTATTATTGGTGAAACTAACTGCAATCTAGCCTGAACTGAACAAATTGGGCTACTAACAATCTTGGGAGTCTATCAACAGCGCAGATGAAAATTTCTGTTTGCACTGGGAAGATAGCTCACAGGATTTCAACCCCGTAGTTTTTTTTTTTTTTGAACCTTAGTATGTAAAGTGAAATGTCTAGCTTAACAATGTTTGTAAGAGATGGCAATTGGCAAGGCTCCTTGTTCTACCTTGGAATGTATATGCTTGTGGAGCCGAACAGACTAATTTATTTATCTCATGCTATCCTAATCAATGGTAATGTCTTTCGGTGTTCTACGTGGACTGATTTTCATTGTATTAGGCTTTTGGGCATCTGGTGTTTCCTTTACCTTCTAAGTTCCTGTGGAATTTATCCACTATGAACGGGCATGGCATATCCCTAATCTGTGTTGGATTATGATATTAGGGATATGCCGGCATGTTGCTGGTTTCTCTTTAGCATGTGTCGAGGAACGCATTCACGGGGATGTGAATGTGATGTTGTGTGTAACTATGTACATGTGCATCTATCGTGTAATCGAGAAATCTATCGTGTAATCGAGAAAAAAATCTACGTTGGATTCCGGACTTCTGATTCTAGAACTACGGCATTTTCGCTGTCATTGATATTGATCAATTGCACCTCTCCTTGAAGCCTTGAACGTCTCTCTCTCTCTCTCTCTCTCTCTCTCTCTCTGCAGAATTGTCAACAAATGAATTATTACTGCTTTACAAAAGGGGAGTGTATTATGTGCGCACAAGGTGCACTGGCCCTGCACACTAACTGAAAATACCTTGTATATGTACAGGATATGTTCCCTTACGAAGGAGGACGCCTTGCTGGTTCACTGCGAATGATTGATGAATGCATTTATATGGCACAGCATTTTCGGTTGGCAAGTACTGTACAAGATACAAGGGTGGGTTGGGGACTCATCATGCCGGCCAATTGCCATGGTCTATAAATAGCTGAAACGCCAAAGTAGGTGCTTACATAATCCAAGTACTGCCAGCTATGGACCCATCCAAACTCATTACACCACATAGCATATCTATCCACCGACGAGCCTATTTCATTTTGCTGTTCTTGCAAATGAATTGGAAAAAAAAAACTGAGAGAGCACTAAAGAAAAGACGATGAGACAAAGAAGCACCTTTTACACAAAGGAGATCCAGGGTTTAGCACTAAAAAAAATCTCCAGACCAGTGCTTTCTTGTCATTTTACATGCCACAAAACAGCACAGATTAGATCACATACCCTACCAAATTATACCCACTTATTGTCTTCTCTGCATCATCATCTCTCTCTCTATATATCCCACCCAAAACAACTTTGTGAGTGTTAGCAGACAAACAGTTAGATGGACCCCACGCCACTACCCTCGAGCTTAGCTTAGCTACAATGGCGGCGCCATTACTCGGCTCCATGCAAAGAGACGGAGGCTTGCATTGCACATTGCTGCACACGCACGCGTCTCGTCCTCACAATCTGGCGCCGCTGCTGGAGAGCAGCAGCCCGCACGGCTGGGAGCCGCTGAACTGCACGTCGAAAGGGTCCCTCGCGTCGACGAAGCCGCCCGCTCCGAACGACGACGCTATCCATGGCAGCTCGCCGCTACCACCCTGGTGTTGGTGGTGGCTGCCGCCGGCTGTCTGGAGGACGTCTTCCAGCGCCTCGTTGAGCGGCTGGTACTGGAGCGGATTCAGCAAGCAGTCCTGTGAAGAGCTCGGCAGCTCACCTGTACACCAAACAGTGGCGAGTTCTTTCTCTGTCAGTGTTGGATGATCTATGAGGGCTTTGACCTAGCTAAGACACCTGATGGAAAGCAATGGGCACCTTGAGGTAGGTTCAGAATCTGTGCGTTCTCTGAAGCCGGCATCTGCACGGACTGGGACTGGATGGTGGTTGGTGATGACTGGCTGGTGCACTGGGACTGCACCTTGAATTCCACTATGCGGTTGGGGAACTTGTAGGCGTCTTGCTGCAACTTCACCACCAGCGCCTGCAAATTAATTAGCAATATTAATTGGGTGACAAGACAATTATACTGCCATGCATCTGAATCAATTAGTAACTACTTTTGGACGCTGTCCAGGTGCTGCTCATAATGAGGATGTCCTTTCATCTGTGCATCAGGCATCTTTCGATGCCATTGATGGCAACTTGCAAGTCTTTCTCAGAATTTCAGGTGTTTACCTTCTGTGTTGGAGTAAGAGCATTCAGAGTGAAGCAGTGGCTTCCAACGATCACACCGACAACCTCATGGATGCAGTTGAAGAGAAGGATTATCCCATGCCCGCTGCAGTAGGAGTAAAGCTTGTCGTCCAGAACGCACTCCCGTGCATGCTCAACGGTTGCTTCCCACATCTTGTTTGACATTCCACTGCCAAGTAACTGAAAAATGGACATGCAGTTCAGGATGAGAATATATGCATGGAAGCTACATTAAAGTTGGACAGAGAAGTTTATCTAAAAAAATAGAAGTTTTTATTGTAAAAGGGATGATTAATTTCTTACACTACGTAGTCCATATTGATCCATCACCAAGTTCCGGAGGAAGTCTTGAACAGTGTGAATTCCAAAGTCTGCAAGCTTCTTGTGGAAAACGCCGTCTTTCCCAATTTTCTCCAAACGCCAAACGTCATCAGCTAGTGCAGGAGGATGATGCTTCTTGTAAACTGAAACATGAAAATTTTATCATTAATTTCTTCTTTAACACTGCAAGGATAGAACTGACGAACAGGTTGAGCATGAAATGAATACCAATAAGGACATACCTTCCCCACGGTGATCCTTCACGAGAAAAGGATTGCTGACAGCTTCCTGCACTCTTTCTTCGATGGAGCTGGCCCGAGAGATCCTCGCACCAAGTCTGAACTTCCTGCTCCTTATCCAGCTAGAGTTGTCCGTGAAAGAAATGTCGCGGATAGATGCAACACCTTTCTCAAGCACAATGATCACCTCGCCGGATAACAGTGGCCTCTTGCCTTCCCTTTCAAAGACTATGCTCTCGCTGAACTCCTTCTCGGTGTACTCCAAGCGCTCGTCAGCGTTGAAATCGCCATCAAGAACGAGGAGCTCAACCTTCATGGAGGACAGCGGGCCGGAGGTGATCGTCTGGTTACTGACAGCGTCGGTGAGAACAATTCGGAGAGGCTGCTTGTTCTCCCCTTCCACTCTGTTGCCTGTGAAGAGGGTCAGAGGCAGGTTGCCCTGGAACTGCAGCTTGTATCGTTTACTGCTTGTCTTTAGCTGAAGGGGAAGCCTGACGAATGCAGGACAAACATCAAGTCAGGACACATTCCAACCACAAAAACAGGAACATCTGAGTGGGCATTTTTGGTAAAACTGATATAGCAGTCAAAAGGTGAAGGACAGCACTGAACTGACAGCATGCATTCAGAAATTAGTATAAGCGACAGCTTGAAGGAATTTTAGCATGAGCTGAGAATTGAGGTTCAGAATGTTTCATACGATAGTGACATTGGAAGTTCCAGAAGAATTAAATTTCAGAGATAACATGGAGAAAATATAAACAGGGTCTTGAACTCGTAGATGCTCTATGTTGTCATTAGTAGTGCCACAGCAATAAACTTCTGTAAATGGAAACAAAAAGGAAGTACTACTAGTCTACTAGTACTATGAAACACTGAATGCAAATAGAATGTAGAGGCCAACCTGTGTGCCGAATCAATGTGGCGGATAAGAACATTCTGCACCTCTTCCTGCACCTGAATTCAGGAGAGTGACACCATGAGAATTTAGAATTCAGCAGAATCTAACTCGACAGGCAGCTAACCGTATAGTAGCTGCTACAGAATGTTGCTTACAACTCTGCGCAGAAACGGCTCCAGCTTGGGCAGATGCCTCTGCATGTACTGCGCGCCAATGGCCTCCTGCATCGAGCTATTACTGCACAATGAAAACGACAAGGGACAAAACGTCAGTCAGTCAGTCAGAACCCAACTCATGAATCCCAAGAACTTAACCGAAATGCCCAAATGCAATGCCATTTTCACTCACTTGATGAAAGTTCGCCGGCGCTTGGCCTCCGGGGAGGCGAGCTCGTCCTCGTCGCCGTCGACCACCTCTTCCTCCACCTCCAAAACCCTCTTCAAGTCCATCAGCGCAATGCAGCTCGAATCAACAAGCTACACTACACTACACTACACTACCCTGCACTGCACCAGACTTCAGTTGAGTTGAGTTCACCTGAGATGAACAAAACCGCCGTAAAACCCTGGGGAGAAACCACGTCGGCTATAAATAGCGGGGGCAAGAGGAGAGGAAGCAGCGTGGAAGCTTCTCCCCACGGGCGGCGGCAGGAGAGGGGGGGTCGGTCTCGTCACGGACACGCTCCCGGTAGGAGGAGATGACGAGCTAGGCCTCCCCGGCAAAAAGATCGCAAAGCGGCGAGCTCCTCATCAGAATCCCTAGAAATGCCAAGATTCGGCCACACCCACCCTCCCTCCTCCCCGCCTTTTCTCCTCCTCCCCCTCACCTCGGCTCCTCTCTTTCAGTGCCGCCACCAAAAAGGGCGCGGAATTTTGTCAGAAAGCGGCAAAGCGGGGGGGCGAGGTCAGAGCGCCCCGGAGTTGTTCGATGGAATGGGCATACGCCCGGGCCATCGGGGTGCGGGCCGTGCTGGTGCACGGCTGGATTTGGAGAAGCTTCGAGGAAGCAGAGAACGGCCATGGTGGTGGTGGTGGTGGTGGCTACTACGGGGAGGATGGGTGGTAGTAGGCTTTCGTGGGGGGATGAAAGATGGGTACAAAGGGGAGCTTTTCGCGGCCTCGCGCGCGCGGTGCAACACCGTAGAGAGGGAAGAAAGGAGATTTGAGGAGGAGAAAGCGCAAAGCAGAGGATGAAAAAAACAGAGTGCGGGGTTGCGATTCTTCTCCTCCATCTCTCGGGCGTTCGTGTGCGTTCGTACGTGTGCTGGTTTTGCATGGCGAGAATATGGAGGAGATGAGGTGATAGGAGCCTTTGCGTTTACTTTTTTTTTTCTTTTCCACTTTATCTCTCCTTTGCTCCATTCAGCGGTGGAAATGTGAGAATAAAATCGAACGAACACTGTTGATCAGTTCATGATTGGTTCTACTGAAAATTGCTGTGTTGGAACTTGGAACGGAAGAAGAATGGTGCGAGTTCAGTAAGTCAGTTCAACGATCAGGGCGTGTATTGTCTTAGTAATTTGTTTTGTCCTGAGCAACAGAGTATCAGCATCACTAATCTGATCCTCTATCTAGGCACTGCCTATCTGCCTCTTCTAGTCTTCTTCTCTGCAGATTTCCTGATGTGAAGTCTGCAGGTATGCAGTGGCCGACTGGCCATGCAGACGTGCAGGCGCAGGCATCCAAATGGATTTCTCATTTCTATCATCCCCCCAAATTCCCGAAAAGGAATCCTAGAAAGTGCGAAACCAGGGCATCTGCAGGCAGGCACACACAGACTCACACACACTTCCCCAGGATAACGAAGCAGACGACATGGCGGCAGAGGGGAGAGCCTCTCATCCGCCTCTACCGTCGCCTTTGCCCCTAAAAACTGAAAAGCGGCTTACATCATGCTCCTCCTCCTCTAGGGCTTTCCTTTTTTTTTCTCTTGCCACACACTGCCATTGCTGTCTTCAAATCTCCAGGAAAGCAATTCAAACAAAGGCGAGGCATCCTAGCTCTCCCCTCGTCCATGTGGGAAGAAAGGGCAGGTCTTTAAGCACACGATGCTGATTCTCCCCTCGCCCGCTTTGGGCGCGCGCTCGGCCCTTTGCTGTCCCTGGGCTCGCGCTTGGTATCCGAGGCTGCTGCTGATGCTGATGCTGCTGACTCGGTGTCGTCATGAGCTAAGCCGGCTAGGAGACATGGCCGACACACAGGTGTGCACAAAGAATGCTAAGTGCTATACCCTGATGTTCCTAGCAAACTGGAGGGAGCCCTGGAGGTCTGTAGAATTACTGTGTTGCTTACTTCCCTTTGTTTTTTTTACTGTTTATGATTCGCCAGCTTCGTGCATCGAGTTGATCCTTTTACATGTACAGACACGGGCAAAGAGGTGGCTATAGGCTACTGAATTTGCTATGCAAACAGCTTTCCGGTCGACCTGATCCGGCACATGCAGATGCAGCAACGCTGCTAACCTACTCCCCATGGTGGCAGAAGCATCGAAACATGCAGGGGCACGCGCAGGATAAAAACAGGAAGGATCCAGGCTTTACATAGAGCCCAACCCAGTATGGCAGTATCCATGTGATGGGATGATAAGAAGCCCAGGGCTATATAGGCAAAGCATATCACATACGGCCCATTTGGCCCATCACGTGGCTAGACACTACCACGGCCCAAACGAGCTACAAGCAACGAGGCTTAAACATGAACAGCTTATGGGCTCAGGGAGGCGGCAAGGCGTGTTTACCTTGAACGCGGCCTAGTAGCAGAAGGACTCGGCGGCGGCGGCGCGGAGCGGGGAGTGGCGGAAGTGGCAGCGGTGGCCGTAGGGGCAGCCGGAGGCGGCGGCGAACATCTGGCAGGGGAGGGTCTTGTAGCGCGGGTGGCGGATGACGGGGCGCAGCTCCTGCAGGCCGTGCGCGAACCGGCAGCGCGCGCCGTAGGGGCACGCGCCGCGCTCCCACTTGTTGCACAGCTCCGTCTTCGCCGCGCCCTGCCTGTACGCCTCCACCTCCACCTCGCCGCCGCCCTTGTCCTCCTCATCCTCCTCATCCCCTGCTGCCGCTGCCTCCTTCGGTGAACATTGATTCCCCATCACAAAAATCAAACAGTTGGGGTGCGAAATCTTAAAGAAGTTTCTCCAGATTCAGTAATTAGACTTTCAGAAATATTGACAAGGCTGAAAGTTATTGCAAATGCAACTTAGAATTGAATTCAACACACTTTGATGCTTTGTATCATTGCTAACACAGATTGCCAGAACACGTGTAGTTTTGCAAGTTAAATGTTGACATTGTTACCATCTAATCAGTAATCACAGGGATGAACCAATTTGCAGGAATTATTAGAAATCTGAATTATCTGTGAGGGTTCGTGTGCAAATATCCAACGAGATTCACTAACTAGACTTTCAGAATTAAGAGATTGACTGCTACCGCATTTGCAAATCTAGAATCGAGCATATCCAATTCAACATTGCTTCCTATCATTGCTAAATCACAAACAAGGCATCAAATTACCAAAGCATGTGTGGTTTGCAAAGTTTAATGCTGACAATGTCACCATCTAATCACATATGAACCAACTCTAAATTATCTGTGAGGATTAATGCTGGCATTCTCACCATCTAATCACATATGAACCAACTCTGAATTATCTGTGAGGGTTCGTGTGCAAATGTCTGACGAGCTTAACAAGCAAGGAATTGGGGGCTCACCTCCATCGCCTGAGAAGCGCGAACACGGAGGCGCTGTGGCCTGGCCTGCCCCTGCGGCGGCTTCTGAGAGAGGTAGCCCGGCGAACGAATGGAGATGCTCTTCGGTGCGCCCCCCTGTGCTGCTTCGTCCTCCTCTAGCTTCGGCGGAGCCATGGCGGATGCCTGCTTCCGCTGCTCGGACTCGAGCTCCTCGAGAAGGAGGGAGAGGTGGAGGTTCTCGGCGGCGAGACGGAGGCGCTCGCGGTGGAGGTCTGAGAGCTCGGCCGCGGCGTCGCGCAGGCGGAGGAAGCAGTCGTCGTAGCGCTCGGCGATCGCGCGCAGGAGCATCTCCGCCTCGCGCACCTCGCGCTCTCGCTCCGCCGAGGCCCCGAGAGGCGAGCTGTAGCCACCGCTCCGGCCGTCGGAGACGCAGGATGAGGGCGACGTGAGTGGCTTCTCCAGAGATGATGCCCATGGCAGAGAAGGGAAGCCGTCAGCGTTGCCGACGCCGCGGCTGTCGGAGACGCACGATGAGGGCGACGTGAGTAGCCTCTCCAGAGACGACGCCCATGGCAGAGAGGGGAAGCCGCCAACGTTGCCGACGCCGCGGTTGTCGGAGACGCACGTTGGGGGCGAGATGAGCAGCTTCTCAGGCGGGAACGCGCTTGTCGGCGAGCCGAAGCCACCGCCGCGGCCGTCGGAGATGCACGAGGAGGGCGACTCGAGCGGCTTCTCCAGAGTTGACGCCCATGTCAGAGAGCTGAAGTCGCCAGCGTCGCGGCAGTAGGGGATCTGCTTCTGCAGCGGGGACGACGCCCGTGCCGGTGAGTTGTAGCCACCACCACCACCTCCGCCGCCATCGGAGACGCTCGATGTAGGCGAGCGGAGCAGCGCCTCCACCGTCGACACCCACGTCGGGGATCCAGAACCGCCGCCCTCGAAGGAGAAGCAGGACGACCTCGCCGGCGAGACGAAGCTGAGCTCCCCCTCCATCGCCTCGCCCGCGCCACCCGAGATCCCAAGCTGCAAATGGAGCAGCAGAAGAGAGATGAGGCTAGGGTTTGGATCGATTCATCGAGAGGGAGACGACGAGCTCGCGGCGGTTACCTTCATGTGGTCGTTGGGTTGGGGAATTGGAGGGAAGCGGGAGGCTAGCTGCGGTTTGAGACTCGGGGGAAGTGACTCGATTGCCCCCGCCTTATATAGAAGTTCAGAACACGCTTCACCGCGGAAACTTTGCAATTGACCATCGCAATGATCTGTAATGAGATAAAAATGTTTGTTTGCAGTTAAAACCCTTGTTGTGGTATTGTCATAGTATATTTTAACTCTGAATAAGCATGCTATTAATTAATAGCAAAGGGTGAATACCCAATATGATCCTTGAACTTTCGCTTAAGGATCAATTTAGTCCCTGACATTTTGTATTGTCCAAACAAGTACCTTAAGTTCATTGTGTGATTCAATATAGTCCTTTGACCCTCTAAACATGCCATGTGTACATGCCACATCATCTATGCATGCAAATTCAATATTTAAATGTCCTTTACACCCTTATGTTTTCATAGGAAATAAAGGAAAACTATTGAGAAAACACACAAAAAAAAAAGCTTTTGACCATTGGCAAAAATATATAGCATTGATAGATAAAAAAATTAACATTTTTCTTTGTTTTATGATTGCTTCTTCTTATTTTACTTTTCTTTATTTGATAGAAAATTGAAGGTTAAAATGGACATTTAAATGTTATCTTACATGCACGAATGACGTGGCATGTCCACGTAGCGTTTTAAGTGGCTCTAAGGACTATATTAAGCCGCATGATAATCTTTAGAGTCTTGGTTGGACATTATAAAACATGAAGGACTAATTCGACCCATGAACAAAAGTTGAAGGACTGAACTGGCTATTCACCCAATAGCAAAGGTTTTCGCTTACAGCCAGTGGCGGAGCAAACGCCCAGCTATGTCCCAGTAAATTAATCCTAATTACCTTGCTATTGCTAATCATTTTAATTACTAAGTCACTGACAGAAGCAGTAGTATAGTGTACATACATAATTAACATGCTTAGAACAAACTACAACTAACAAAGCAAATGCTCACCCCAAAATAATCTATAGATTTGTATATAATTAGGTACATTTTATAATTTATTGTTAGGCTTGCCCAGTCCCATAAAATTTCTAGATACGCCACTCTGCTTACAGCCCAGCATGGATGAAAATGAATTGACAAATCACTGAGCTCCTGACTCCGCTAGTCCGCTTGCGGAGATTACTCCGCTAGTACTCCTACTCAACAAGGGCAGAATAAATTTCTCTTTGTTACTTCTACATGTCAGTCTATCACACAGGAGCTCATAAAATTGTCTGGAACAGGAGTACCACAGTGACTACAGATAGTCAAGAACGTTTCATTTCTTCCAGGTTGGAAACCAGGACATGTTTTGGTCTTTACAACTTTGAATAAATGTACGTCTAATCAATGTTTCAAGGGGCAACAAGTATCAGTACTAAACTAAAAATGATTAATATCACGGTAACGATCAGGCCTGCCTTATTCTGTTGTCGGAATAACATATGAGCTGGGATCTGAAACAACAGCACTGGATACAAGGACAATGAAACAATCCAGGTTTCTGTGTGATCCTTTCGGCGAGGCAACTGCAGTCATTTTCCAGGGCGAGGGATTGAAAGATCGGAAACCCGGAATGACCTCTCAAGGAGCTGAGGAACAGTTAGTTTCAGCTCGAAGGTCAACTTCTGGAGAACATAGCAGAGGGTGATCACATCCTGCATTGCTCGATGAGCGCTCCCTGCCAATGGGATCTTGTAGTGCTCCCTCAGATTGTCTAAAGATACAGATTTCAGTTTTTCCCCTGCAAATAAAATAACAGGAAGGTTTTACTTTCAGTCACCTGCTTTGCTCCCATATTATGCCTTCTCTCTTGCAGTAAAAAAGAAAAAAAGAAAAAGAATCCAGTGATAAAAACTGAACTTTCTTTAGAGAAGACCTAATATTGCTAACTTAACTTTATTTTTGCCTCAGGATTCAACATAACAATTAAAATCACATGAATGCTTATGAAAAGTTGGAAGTTGAATAGCAAAACTAGTTTGTTTTGCTAGTTACACTGTAATATCAGGGTGAACTGTATATAGCTCTAATCTCTAGCAGTGCAAATTAGTCAGAAAAGTTAAGTTCATGCAAGTAAACAGAACACTTGACAAAAGAACGTACCATCAGAACCAATCAATTGCCTTGCAATTGGAAGTGTATCTACAAATAGCCAGTCACCAGGCATCTCTATTTTACTCCGTTGGAATTCATACATGAGAAATGGTACATCAAAGCTACGTCCATTATGAGCGACCCACAGAACTGGTTTATCAGCCATTTGACGACTCAAAACATACTGTAATAGAAGAGGGATAAACTCCCGAAATCTGCATAGCCAGAAAAAAGAACTTCTATAATTATTACAGAACATAAAAAGTCCAACGTAATCAAGTTTTGGCATCCTAGTGCTCAATGACTGAAGCTTATACTAAAGGGAGATGATTAAAAGAGGCACCTATCCCAGAAAAAGGAAATGGAATTTTGATATCAGTTCACATTTCTTCTAGCACCGAATTTTCGGAATATCTAGAAGAGGGAACCTTTTTTTCAGAAGACAGCATCACAATAAAAAAATGGCAGGTCAATGGTTGCAAGCAAGGAAAGATACAATATCTAGTTTGCAACTAGTCCACTGTTCTCTCGGATGCCCTTTTACAGTTTTACTTCCATACTTTCCTTATTGCATGAAAAGTACAGTTTGCATAAGAAGAAATAATTTAACAATATCAGCTGAGCATCTGTTGAAAATGTCATACCTTGGTATATCAGGTTTGCAGACCATGCTGCTGCTAATACCATGAACATATGCATTTTTTATCTCTCTCTCAGGATTTATGAGTGTCTGGATAGTGCTATTCTTTCCTCCCATAAGATCCCGAACAGCAAACTCAATGATTCTTTCATAGCGGCGTGAGAAGCCTGTAGTTTCAATATCAAAAACAAGGATAGTTGCAGGCCAATCGGTCTTCACTCCGGAAACCTTTTGTGGAATATTGTAGCATTGAAGTGATTTAAGATGCTCAAGATCTGACTGTTTGAGCACTTCAATCGATGACTCAACCGATTCACTATGCAAATGACGGCTGGTTTTGAATGACTGCTTACTTTCTTTTCTTGTACTTCTTGCTAGTATTGTCGTACTGATTGGTCGAGTTTTATTTCCTCTGTTCTGAAGTACAGTTCTATAGATTAATCCGCATTTAAGCAAACCGGTACTAGAACAGCTTCCTATTGAATTCCTTAGTTGATGGAAGTTCCCACAGAAAATATAATATAAAGACATTGCACAAACAGTGTAAATGGGGCATCAAAGGTATTCCTACACCTATTTATTTGTAGAAACTTGATATTACTGAATACAGAATGTCCCCTCACTGTTAATCCTGAAACAATAAACAAAGAATAACTTTAGTTGGAAAAATTAAACTAGTCGGAGAAGAGATGTACAAGAATACAACCAAACAGAAAAGAAAGCAGCCATCATATGCTGTGAGCCTGTGACACATCAACTCCACGAAAGCAACCAAAAAAGTGCGAAGATGGCAGAAGTGCAGAAAATGCCATACTCCAGTAAAAATTTTCCATGACACACATGGAAAGCCATAAGAGCATCAAAGTCAATTAGAAAATACAAAAAAATCCAGAAGATAATATTTTGATCTTTCTATTGTGGGTGACAGGCTTCAAGTCTGTAGGATACTTGTACATACTTGGTGGGTGCGTGTATAGTACACAATTTCATGTATGTGTGCGCTGGTTTACCCATATTTCCATTGTTTCATGTCACCTGCTGTGCAGACAAAATGATAATACCATGTATTATAGGGGTCATATATTGGCATAGTCACATAGACCACCCATGACTCCACAAGGGAATGTAGTTATATCCACTGGTTCTACTTGTACCTCCTGTCAGAACTGTTGATATGATGCTAAACAAATCAATTCTGTAGTTCTCCAAACAGTACTGACCAACAGTCTTTACAGGAGCAGCATCTGTCTCCAAAACAGGAATTACCAATAATCTTTACAGGAGCAGCATCCACCTTCAAAACGGTGAAATCGAACTCTATCCCTCATAATTATAACACGACAAAGTACCTTCGAGACTATCTTCATCCATTCATGACAATCACTGCAAGTCTGCAGATTCTTTGACACCATTATCTCTGTCCTTGGCATTGTCTTAAGGATACTATATGCCACCGCTAGCTTCTCACTGTGGACGGTAAGGTTTTCTTCTCTTTCCTCCTCAGAGACATCTTTGGACACTAGTTCAGTCAATGGAATATATCCTTCACTCTTGGCCTTGTTTGATAACCGATGCAACACTTTATAAATGCCATCAGTGTCAGGATGAGATCGGTCACCAGCTTTAAATTCATGGGTGCTCCTCCCTAACTCAACCCAACTCAAGCCCTTGCTCTTCCTAATTCCCTTTTTCTTCCTCTCTTTCCATACTTCCTCTGAATCTTCCCATCTATTCGCAGATGAGTAGATGTTTGAAAGAAGGGTATAGTCACCACTGCCCTGGAACGCTATCTCCTTGACGGTGATCTCACCTAGTTTAGTTTGCCGGTACCTGCAACAAGCACTGAGTAATGCCCTCCATATCACAGCATCAGGTTTCACATTCATTGTCTTTACCAAGTCATATGCTTCATCCAGTAGCCCAGCTCGTGACAAAGTATCCACCATTGCACCATAATGTTCAATCCTCGGAGTGATAGAATACTTTGTAGTCATTGCTTCAAAGTATTGACGAGCCTCTTCAACCATGCCGGAATGGCTGCATGCTGTCAAGAGTGCAACAAATGTAACCCCATCAGGAACAAGACCTTCACTTTCCATCTCACGGAAGAACATCACCGCATCAGATCCAAGACCATGTGCTGCCAGGCCACCAATCATTGTGTTCCATACAGAGACATGGTTTCTCTTAATTGTCATGAATATCCCAATTGCCACGTCAATTCTTCCACATTTTGCATACATATCAACAAGTGATGAACTTAAAATATGGTTCATTTCCAATCCCAGTTCAGCCATTAGTTGATGAACCCACATACCATAACAACGGGCACCAGCTTGAGCACAAGCTGATAGGACTGAGGAGAATGAGAAGCCATCAGGCACTAGACCTGAATTGACCAACTTGCTGAAAATATTCATTGCATCTTTCAGGCACGAGTTCCTTGCTGTACCTGCAATCATTGAATTCCATGAGACCAAATCCTTGACAGGCATCCTCTTGAAAATCTGATATGCCTTGTCTATCTGTCCACACTTCAAGAATCCCATGAGCATCAAATTTCCATAAAAGGGTTCGGCACTCCACTCCAGCATTAGCCAAAATAGTTTGCAAGCTTCCATCACGCGACCATGATCAATGTATAATTTGAAGAGATGAGTTACTATACGTTGATTAGATAGCAGGCCAAGTTTAACGAGATGGGAATGGATTTCCATGATAGCATAGATATTTGAACATTTTGCACAAGCCTTGAGAAGGAGCACATATGTTCTGTAATCAGGGCAGAAAGCAGTGAAACGAAGCATACTGTTGTAATCTGTCAGTGACTTTTCCGGAGATCCTTTCTCCAAAGAAGCTCGGAGGATGGCATTAGTGTATGGAAAGATGGCTCTAACTGGATATCTCCTCAAACAGTTTGTGTAGGACATTGTGCAAATAAGCTTCTCAAATGCGATCACTACAATGCAGACACAAAATAGGCAATTTCACCAGGCAGGTAAGTGTATAAACATTTTCTGCAACCTAATGTAATTCACAGAATACCATCAACGAGACAACGATAACCAGGCAACATGGATAAGATGAAATTCAAACATCATGCTGAAAATTCACCCTGCTTTGAGTAGTGAACATGCTTGGTTCACACAAGATGATTGCAAACCCATTCCAAATCACAACTCACAACACTTGATTACCAAACTTATTCACGGTTCACACATCAAGTAGCCAACCCCGGATCTAGATCATGACCAGCGTACATTGCTATGAAGGGGACATGCTGAAAGAAACACAGAAAAAAAAAACCCAGAATTTTTCAGGACCGCTAAAACTAGGAAAAGGGAAGATACACACAACAATCAAAATGCACGAAAAAAAAAAGGAGCACCACCAGAGCTAATTACAGATCAAACAAACAAGAAGGCCTCCAATGCCCCAACGCAGCACAGGTGCTCGACGGAATGCCTGAACAGAGACTAACCAAAGCAACACAAGCCAATGCCCACCGGCAGCGAAGGGATGACGCACCTGAGCACCCCGCAGGGCCGAGCAAGATCCACCGAGGCGGCGGCGACCACCGGGTTCCGGGATCACGGAAGAAAGAAGAAGGCAGGACGAAGCAAGAGATGGGAAAGCGACTGAAGCAAGGTATATGCCCAACCCACCCACGGAGATGCGCGGAGCGGAAGCGTGGGGTGTGCTCAGGAACGGACACCCATGGGCGCCGCAGGGGTGGGGGTGGTGGTTGGGGGCGGAGGAGGAGGAGGCGCCCGCTGTTGCCGGATCAACCGCACCGCCAACGTGGGCGCGTGGGGCGCGGGGGATGGGTGGGGGGGAGGGAGGAGAGGAGAGGAGAGAGTGGCGCTTCCGCCGCAAGTGGCAAAGCGAATACGGCGTGTGTGCGCTTCAGAAAATGGAGAGAGGTTTTTCTGGCTTCGAAATGGTTGGCTGGTTTTCGGTTTGCTTCAAGGCACGGCGCTCTGCACGTGGTCCGTGCCGTTTTGGTTCTCTCTCCAGATGTGGGCTTCTTGTTGGGCTGGGCTTTTGAGGTTGGGGGATTTGGGTGGGGAATAAGTTCACTTTGGGTACTTCTATTTGTCGTCCAGTCCGATTTACGGACCCTGGTCACAAAACGACGGGTCCCCAACTTACGAAACCGTTTAAATGAGGTCCCTCAGTAGTATTGTGTCCGGTTTTAGCTGAGGTGGCGCCTATGAGGCTCCTTTTGACTATGTCTTTGTCCAACGTATCATTGATGTAGTGCTTACGTGATAATTAGATAAAAAAAATAATAAAACCCGTGGGACCCATATGTCAGTTTCACACAAAAAATAAAAAAGGTGGGCCCTATGTGGACCCACACATCATCCTCAGAGCATCTCCAGCGTGAAAGTAAAATCGATTTAAGGCGGAGAAAAGCGAACCATACACATTGTGGCAGCCGACTCATGGTGTCAGAAAAAAAAATCGAACTCTAAGTTGAAGTCGAACTCTAGGGAGAAAAAATATTTGTTGTCCATACATACATAGAAATTAGACACACTGATTGATTGATGGATTCTTTTTATGGCCCCACAAATTGATTTCACACTGCAGCTATCGATTTCACTCTCCATTCGACTTCGATCAATACAATGGTCGAACCAAACACTGTGGTTGCTCTCACTACCATCTTCTCTCTATCTTCTATGTCTATCCTCTCTCTCCCTCTTCTCTCTCTCCAGCCGGCGGAGCGTGGTGGGCGGCAACCGGAGCAGGCGAAGTCACAGCGATGGCCGGAGGGACGCGGGGCACCACCGGCGAGAGGAGAGGAGCCGCCCGCGGCCCGTCGCTGCTCCGCCCTCAGCTCCGCCCACTGCTGAGATGGTTGTCCTCACCGGCGGCCACTCCATCGGCAAGGCCAAGTGCTTCTTCATCGAGGTCGACATGGCCCCATTGACATGACCTACTGATCCAACATCACCGCCTTCTGCAACGGCTAGGACGGCTACATGGGAGCCGTCCCACTTGATCCCATCACCCCCAACCTCGTCAATCCCAACTTCTTCGACCTCGTCATGGCCAAGAAGATGCCGCTCACCGTCGACCACCTCATGGGGATGGACCGAGGACGTCATCCGGATCAGCTCGCTAAACCTCGAGGAGATGATGGGCTCCTTTGAGCCGGCCAACGAAAGGCCCCTTCCATCGTCTCGAAGTCCAGGAAGGTGGCAGCAGGCGGCGCCATGGAGGAAAGAATGGCGGCCGGTGAGGCGAAGACGGTTGCTACGGACACTGAGAGGAAGCCAACCAGGACGGCGCCGACTGTGAGGAGGACAACGTCGGCTGAGGAGAAGACCCCTCCTAGCGTCTACAGGTCGGCAAGCTCTGCCCTTTTTCCTCGCCGGCCACTACTCGTCCTCCCACCCTTCCAGCCGCCGCCGCATGGATCCCGGAGGAGGAGGAGATGGGGAGGCCACCGCTGGGTCGCCGCATTGGGGAGGAGACAGCGAGATTGGGGAGGAGGACTGGAGGAGACGTGGGTCCCACCGTAAATAATTTATTTTTAATCGAACAATCACTTGCATGGGGGTCCTAGGTTTTTTTGCCATGTCAAACGCCACGTAGGCGTCACGTCAGCTAAAACCAGGGACTATACCGCGCGAGAGATCTTGTTTGCACGGTTTTTGTAAGTTGGGGGATGTGTTGTATCTGGTTTTGTGCTGCAGGGACGAAAATGAGACTGAGCGACAAATAGAGGGACCTAAAGTGAACTTATTCCTTTGGGTGGACGCCGAATTCATCTCGTTTCGTCTCTAATTCTTTCTCTGCGGCAATAATAAGGATTGGTGTTGCACAGAACAACCGCATAGTAGCGGCTGCCGGCTGGTACCCAACGGCTAAGTCGACGCGCCACCGCCTCTCGAGTCTTGACTAGGTTTCTGAGCTTCTACGCAATACTTTATGCATCCCATATTAAATTTGTTTTAGCTTCTTTCATTATCATAAAATAACTTTATTTGTTAAGTAATCATTGCATTGAAGTTGTGAAAGTAGGGAATAATTATATTGAGAATAGATAAAGTGATGAATGGTTGCATTGTGATTTGATAAAGTAGTGGTTTTCTAATCTTTTTTTATTGATATGTGTTTGATGGGTGAAAAATGAACATATTTTGGGACGGATATACTATTTGGAAAACTATAAATTGTAGAAAACTAAGAAATTGTAGGGAAAAAATAGAAAATAGAAAAGATAACAGGATGTTAGGAGCCATGCGTGATATTTTGGCATGACCTTTGCTATGCTTTGAAAATTAAAATAACATAAAAAACTACTCTACAAAATCCCATGGAAATGGGATAAGTAGATAACGATTCAGTCTTATTCGAGCCTTCGTTATCCTCCCCTCCTTCCCCTTTTTTCCCCTCTCCTCCTCTCCACAAAGAGCTTCCCTATGTAGACATGGCAATGGTGGAGCAAGCCCCCAAGAACGGATCTAGAGGCATGGGCCCTCTTCACTGCTTTGATCCAGTCCGAGCGCATGTCGGCAACAAGGATAGTGGACGGCACCAATCTCGTGGCCTCCTCCATCTCATGCTTTTGAGGCATGGCGACACCCATTGGAATCTAGCTCTCATGGTAACCAGGGGCAATCAGAAGAAGTGAAGCCATTAGGAAGGACGTTGATTGGCGTGGGCTTCTCAACCTCCTCCTTCTAGGCATGTTGTCGAGAGTGATGGAAGGGTGTGACCAATGAAGCTTCTAGATATGGTGTTTTCATTGGCAGCGACATGACGGTGAGCCATCATGCTTCTCGTTGGAGTTTGTGCAGGTACGTTACATGATATATCGTTCGTAGCGGTACAATAGGTATCATACATAGTACCCTAGGTACCAGGATGGCAGGATTAGTACTTGCGAGGTAGCAAGTACCAAGCATCAGCGTCTCCTCTCATATTCTCCTTTTTTCTCGACTTGACCCTTGTTCCTTACTACTGCTGTCGCGCTGGCTCAAGGCGCGAGGACGCAAGCACGAGGAGTAGGGGCAGGATGACGTTAGCCTCCATAAAAGTATCTCGTTCGAATGGTATCATGTGCTCGTCTTGAAATAAAGTAGGAATCACATTTTTCCCTCAAGCGGACTTTAATGGGCTTCATGAATAGTGTTCACTATTGGCCTAGCCCATCTGTCTATTTTTTCTAATTTTAGTCTCAGTTTCAGTTCGGCTGCAATACATGGAGTTAACTTAGTACATTTCATAGAACCTTATTATCAGATAGAACTACAAACTCGGTATTACTTATATGATTTTTTTTATTTTTTTATTTTTTTTTCAAATCTAAATTCGAACTAATTTACCAAATTTTACCGGCAGTTTCCGCTGCTGGTAAGATAAACCTTGGTGGAGAACTGGAGACTGCCGATTTGCAATTGTGGGACTCCTCGTTGTTGGAAAAGCTGAGGCATAGCAAAGATCGCATTGACTTGAGATTTGCTCTAGTTTGGTTCTCTTTGCGTCCACTTAGAAATCAAGAATCAAATACCGTTCTCGCTGAAGGAAAGATCAACGAGAAAAGCAGAAGCTAACAAACACTGTACTTTTCAAAACGACCATAATCAGCTACTTTCAGAAGTTTCCAGTGGAATATTGCCCCTAGCACGTTTACATCACCGTCACTTTGATTTGTGATCACTGGCCAGTGTGAACCCCATCACTTGACCTAATAAGTCAAAGTAAAAGCTAAAATTTAAATTTTCAAACTAAATTTTAAAATTGATTTTAAGATATTTTCAACGTATTTTTTTAATATTGGTTTTTAAATCGCTACGAACAAATATATTATTTTTTATTTTCTAATAAGCCAAAACGGCTTATTGGGAAATACTTTGTATGAGCACCCGATGAGACTCTAACTCGCGGCATAGGGGACTTTTTTTTTGGGGAGGATGTTCTGGGTTTTGACTCCATCAAGAAGTCTATGTTTACTCGTAGCATTAACGCCAGGACGTCTGAGTTCTTAAGGAGAAAGATCAGCTAGAACCAGAACATCCCGCATGTGTTAAAAGAAAGTCAACCAAATGATGCTCAGCTTGCACCAACGGTAGCGCAGGATTTGCAGCATCATGCTCCGCATGAATGAATCAATAAAAAAAATATTTATTCCTCAAATCACTTTTCAGCATGTTAGTGCCATCAGTCCTGGCTACATCTAGCAGTACATCACTTCGTCAAATTCGTACCGTCATGCCAGATCATTTTGGTTGCTGGACCTTCGATTTCCATATTGCTGAGCAATGCAGCTACATCATTTTGTCAATCCACCCAATTACATTGCCTCCTGTTTTCACAACTAGTAGATGACTAAAACATGAAACAGTGGTACCGTGTGGACAAGCTCTCACGTGAAGAATCATAGTAGGTTTTGAACACATCAGCTTTTGACAACATCAACAGCCTGTACAGTTAGAAAATGTCAGCAATCGGTAGTCCCCAGGGTTAACGCAGTCTATATCTAAAACACGGTGTTTGTTGCGTTCCACCACCTGGCACGAACAAACCACCCCAATCCTGCATGCATATAAGCATAAAACAAACACATGATCGTGCGTGCCAGTTATGTTATCTCAGGTTTGACATGGACATATAACACATTGATATTGCGTGCAGAGATGATAATACGCTACTCCTCCTCAGCTGCAACTCGGAACAAGTCTGGACTCTCTGGATGGAGGAGATGGTCAGAACCAAAAGGACGTTGCTGTTAACTGAAGTGTGCGATGTCATAAGATTACTAGAGAAAACAATATCTATCCTGTATACCAGTATCGTCCGTTTCTTTGATTCGGCCAATGCTCATAAAGAAGGGCATAAGATTGTCAGCTGCAAGTTGCTTTCAAGAAAGCGAAAGGCTTCT